GGGAAAATCAGGGAAAAAAGAGGGGAAAAGAGGGAAAATCAGGGGAAAAAGGGGTGAAAAGAGGGAAAAAAGGGGGAAAAGAGGGAAAAAAGGGGGAAAAGAGGGAAAAAAGGGGGAAAAGAGGGAAAAAAGGGGGAAAAGAGGGAAAAAAGGGGGAAAAGAGGGAAAAAAGGGGGAAATCAGGGAAAAAAGGGGTGAAAAGAGGGAAAAAAGGGGGAAAAGAGGGAAAAAAGGGGGGAAATCAGGGAAAAAAGGTGGAAAATCAGGGAAAAAAGGCAGAAAATCCAGGGAAAAAGCGGGAAAATCAGGGAAAAAAGGGGGGAAAAGAGGGAAAATCAGGGAAAAAAGGGGGGAAAAGAGGGAAAATCAGGGAAAAAAGGGGGGAAAAGAGGGAAAATCAGGGAAAAAGGGGGGAAAGAGGGAAAAGTGGGGAAATCAGGGAAAAATGGAGAAAAATCAGGGGAAAAAAGGCAGAAAATCAGGGGGAAAAGAGGGGAAAAGAGGGAAAAAAGGGGGAAATCAGGGAAAAAGGCAGAAAATCCGGGGAAAAAGCGGGAAAATCAGGGAAAAAAGGGGGAAATCGGGGAAAACGGGGGAAAAGAGGGAAAAAAGGGGGAAATCAGGGGAAAAAGGGGGGAAAAGGGGGGGATTGTGCCAGGCACGCACCGGGAGGAGGCTCTGTGGGCCGGCGCCGAGGCTCCCGGGGCCGAGGCCGAGCGCTGCCGCTCCCGGGAGCCGCGGCGGCTGCGGCCGGGGGCGCCGGGGGCTCCGGGGGGCTCCTCGTCGCTGCCGCCGAAGCTGGTGATGAAGGTGATCTTCTCCTCGTGCCCCAGGGACGGCGTGCGGGACCGGGAGCGAGACTCCGAGCTGGATTCCGAGGGGGAGCTGCCGGGAGAGCGGGATACCGGGAATGAGGGGAGGGAGAGGGGAGGTACCGGGGAGGTACCGGGGGTGGGACCGGGGGTGTTACCGTTTGTAGGGGTCGTAGGTGGGGCTGTCCCGGCGGGCGTAGCTGTGGGGGGGAGAGAAAAGGGGGGTT